GTGCTATTGTGGGTGTACTTCAATACCTCACATTTACAAGGCCTGATATATCATTCTTAGTCAATAAGGCCTGTCAATTTATGCATAAGCCCACTATAATCCATTGGATAGCAGTAAAAAGGATCCTAAGGTACCTTAAGTTTACAATCAATTATGCCTTTGTATCATCCCCTCTACATCCACTCAGCTACATGCTTTCTCTGACGTTGATTGGGTCAGTTGCCCAAATGATCGGTGCTCCCAAGGTGGCTTTTACATCTTTCTTGGTGATAACTTGATCTCATGGACCTCCAAGAAGCAAGCCACTATCTCCAAATCTAGCACAGAATTAGAGTACAAAAGCATTGTTGTCGTTGTATCTGAATTACTTTGGCTACGGTCCATTCTCTCTGTACTCGATATTTCTTCCTCTTCATCACCCATTTTGTGGTGTGACAACATTGGTGCCACATACTTAATTGCCAATCCAATTTTTCATGCACGAACAAAGCATATTAAGATTGATTACCACTTTGTTCGTGAAAAGGTTACTACCAAAATTTTGGATGTTCACTACATATCTACCAAAGACCAGTTAGCTGACATCTTCATCAAACCATTGCCGAAAGTTTGGTTCTCAGATCTGCGACTCAAACTTCGTGTTGTGAAATGTCATCTCAGTTTGAGGGGGGTTGTTGACGAAACCAGGCCCAAGCCCACATGACACATACGTGCATAACCCAGCCACTGAATCTTATCCCCTTATCCTCTTAGTTTTCCCACTCTACCTCAATCTTTATCATTATGGTTTATCATTATCACTGTAACCACTACCAAGTGTACAGTTAGTTGTAACCAAAACTCTTGTAATATATAAGTACAATGAAAGGCGCAAGCCCAAGTAAGCTTTTCTCTCCAAAATCATTCAAGATCTTTTAGGTTGGAGATAAATAAAAGATTTTTAAACTTTGCCAAGTATAATAATATTTGACAAGAATGAATCAACTTGTACCCATAAGTAAGAACTTTTTCCTTTTTTCCTTTTTTATGTTTCCTCACATGCTTGTTTGGAACATAGTGTACAATAAATGAATTTTACATGATGACAATACTGGTTTTATCTAAAGTCCTAATAGTCTTGAATAATTCCCTTAGATATGATTTCGTAACTCAAAAGTTACCATATCACAACTCTTAAAGTTCATATTCTCAAAGGAGTCATTTTATTGAAACCTTGTCTTCTACTTAAACCTCAATTTAATATGTTCATATCATAAAAAATTGTTATTTAAATTGAATTGGGTTTATATTAAGATCATGGGTTCTAAATTGTAAACTCCCTTTAATCATATCATTGAACATTGCAATCTTTACAAAAAAAATGTTGAATGGAGAAAAGGAAGATACTTGTACATTTTTTTATTTTATCTTTGAGGTCCTTTTATAAGAAGCAATAACAAAATGTATCCATGTATCATACAATAAAAATGAAAATTTTGAAGTTGGTTGAAAGACATTTTAATTCCAACGAATTTTGAAGGCAAATTGAGTGGTGCCAGCTAACATGTTAACAACAACAACATCTTTGTTAAATAAAAAAACAAATGAATTAATTATAATTATTTATTTATGTTGGTTATCATTTTATTTCAATCCCCATGCATACGACCTTCTTATTAGTCTTGTAAAACAAACCAGATTCCGGCTGCTGGATGAATTTTCATCTCATCATGCTCACTAGATCTTGACTATCTGATGCCAAAAAAATCAACTACTTGAGGTTTTAAGTTGTAGCAACTCTTAAATCTAGTAGAGTTGCATTCGCTTTTGAGAAAAGAGGGTACTTGGGGATATCGGACATAGACAGAGCAGACATAAGAACACTATTACCATAACACACCCATTCCTAAAACCTTGCACATTTCAGCTATCTCATATCAAGGTTCAACATATCGATACGCCCAATACATTGGTAGGGGTGTATTGGGTGATATTGATAGTGTTTCTTTGCCTTTTTTTATTTTTTTCAAAACCAGTTTAGGGGGCTGGTTATGAGCTGATATGTATCGATACTTTGAACCTTGCCTCATATTACAAGAGTCCATGCAACTAAAAAGGGGTAATCAAGTTTTGTTGTAGACATTATAGTTGTAGAAACATAGCAACAAAGGATATATATTATTCCAATGGATATGGGGTAAAATAGGATTTTTAAAATATTAAAAGAGTTAAATGAAACAGCATGTAACGTTTTATCAAAAGAGGGTATGTTTAAGTCTAATGGGCTCAAATAATAAGTCTATTTGAAAATTTTGGGGTATGTTTAAGTCAATTTATAAAAACTCAAGGCATGTTTAAGTCTTTTACCCTTGCTCATTTTCTCTCTAATAACTCCAATAATCAATCCCACTCTTTCAACATCTTCTATATTTAATGCCACGTCTAATATATTTAATCAATATTCAAGTTCGAATTTTAATTTAAAAAATGCCATTAAATACACCTTAAAGCCTTGAACTAGTTATAAAAACTACAAATGGGGGGATTTAAACCTTCATTATTAGCCGGTAACAGATCGTCTTCATCCTCCCTCATGCATATGCTGGTAATTGCCGGTGCTGGAAACAGATCTGCCGCCACTGTTGGTTTCATCTTCTACCTTCGGCTCGAGATGTGTTATCGTAGCTAGAAACCAGCAGCTGTCCTTATCGGCACCAGCTATCTGCCACTGCTGTTATTATCGGCACCAGCTAGAAGCATGGGGGCTGCCACTGTCCTTCTCGGCATCAGCTAGAAACCAGCAGCGACAAAAGGTAGAAGACGAAACAGATTTGCCGTGGCTGTTACTAGATCTGCTGTTGCCGGTAACAGATCTGCTGCTGCTGTTACTATTGGCACCAGCTAGAAACATGGGGGTTGTCGCTGTCCTTATCAGCACTGGTTAGAAACCAGTAGTGGCAGAAGGTGGAAGATGAAACAAATCTGCCACTGCTGTTACTAGATCTGCTGCTGCCGGTAACAGATTTGTCGCTGCCAATAACAGATCTGCCGCTGGTAGTAACACCGTTAATGATGATGGTAGGCATTCACTGGCGATGAGGGTGGATTCAACCTCTGAGATCTCTGTTTTGTCTTCATCCTCCCTTTGCAGATTGAACCTCCGAGACCTCTGTATTGTCTTGGATAATTTTCCTTCTATTTTCCTATGTAAAACCAAACACTGGAAAATTAAATTTTTACACTTTTCCATCCCATCCCACCCAAATCTTCCCACAAACCAAACGGAGCCTAAGGCTATATTTGGTTTGAAGAAAAAGGTAGGGAAAGGAAGGGAAACATAGAGAAACCCAAGGTTTGTAAAGATTTCCTTACATTTCCCTTCCTTTCCCTACTTTTTCCCTCAAACCAAACACAACCTGGAAGATGATACATGCAACCCATTTAAGGAGTAGCTCATACATCAAGTTGGTTCCCCTTCACACACCTTAGTGGGTAGTTGGTTGGCTAATGCATTATATTGTCTATTTACATAGAATATTTGACATATATCAAAAGAGTTTTCAAACTCTAGCAATGCATCTCTACAAAATTTGTGTTTCCAATTAAAACTCATTTATAATTGTTATTTATATAAATAGCCAACTAAAGGACGACTCAATTGGTATGTTAGCTGGTTTGTTCTAGTAGAGATGTGAATTTGATTCCTACAACCGCCAATTTTTTTTGTGGGGGGGGGTTATTAGTGAGATGGTACACTATTCAAACAACCCTTTTGGGAGATTCAGGCATATCACCAAAATAATAAAAAAATTATAATTATATAACTTATATATATATTGTTAGTAATATATATTTTTTTAAATTTATTTGAGTTTACTAGTGTATCCATGATTATTTTGATTTTTCGTCTATATCTGTATGTACCTAAGGTTGTACTTGTTTTTGAAGTAAACTTCATCAATGGAGTTCATTGCCGATGGGTTTAAAACTAGTGAACTGTTGGAACTTCTTTTAAAGTGTGACAATAAATGTAAATAATATATTATAAAATTGATGTAGTATTTATATCAATTATCAATGTAAAACTCAACCGATGGGGATGAAAACAAATGCATGAAAATACAAGTTGGGAATGGAGTTTTACACCGGTCCGTATTTACATTGAAAACAAATGCGAATTGACAGTAGAGTTCTATGTTGATTTGCATAATCACCGCAAACAAACACAACCTAAAGCATATCCCAATATATTTCTTATAATTGTATTTGCATATACATCACAAACAAATACAACCTAAAGCATATCCCAGTATATTGAAAATTCCCGGTCAATACCCTGTACTTTGGCTTGAGTGACAATTTGGTCCCCGAACCTTAAAATGCAACAATCCATTCAAATGTGACAATCCAATACACGAACTTTCAAAATGTGAAAATCTATTATCTGTCGTTAACCAGTCCGTTAATCAGCTGTTAAGTGACATTTGAAAAGTCAAAAATGTCCTTCAAATGCCATCTAATTCTCTTTATCAACCATCCAAACGTTGATAAAAAACTGAGCAGTTCCAAATCCTAGCTTCTTCTATTCAAAAAAATTGGTGATTATTTAGAAAAATTTAAAATTTGGGACTGTTAATTTTATTGTCAATGTTTGGATGGTTGATAAAGAGAATTAGATGACATTTTTTACTTTTCCTATATGACATAACGATTGATTAACTGCTTAACGATAGATATTAAATTTTCATGTTTTGAAAATTTAAATACTGAATTATCACATTTTTAAAGTTTGAATGCTTATTTAAACTTCGAAAATCAAATCGTCACTTTAGTTTAACCGTGGTTGCCTAACCTTCTTTCATTTGTCGTCGGCCAATTCTGATCGAATCTTTTTGACCCAAATTTGAAAGAACCGACAAAAAATCGTCGAATGCTAATAGTAAAATAATAAAATATCACTCAAACTCTTTGCACCAAAGAAAAAAGTTGTTTTAGAAAAGCACATAACTTTATCCAAACAGACCAATAAATGGTACCAAATTGTTCCTGTCGTGAGTTTCCAGAGCGCGTTATCTAGAACTAGATATGCAATATTAACTTCTCATTTGTGTTCGAACTCTCGTTTCAAATTCTCTAACTTCATCCACCGTTGGTTGGAGGTGGGTAGTGGGTTTAAGCTTTCATTTAAGCATACTTCTTCATTTTTTATGATTTTCTCTGCTGAAGATTTCTTTCTTTATTTTATTTTGATTATCATGTTAGTTGTCTTGAATTGTTAGAATTCATAAATTTTCTCCATTCCTTCAATGGAAATATCAGCAAATCAACAATAAATTAATTATCTTTCCAATGAAAGGATAAAACGATAGAAGAGGAAAAAAAATCTCGCCAATGGAGAAATCGGTTCTTCTCTGCAATTCCAAACCCCCAGTTGCAGACCTCTTCAAACAAGAAATCTCAAATGAAGTTTCCTTGAAACCCATCAAACCCAGTATTCCTTCCTCCAAGGTACCTAAAAAGGTGGCCTCGGAGACAGCTCCAAGGATCACAGAATTCCACTTAAACCATTTGTGCAGAAATGGGCAGCTCAAAGAAGCTGTATCTGCTCTCGATTCTATTGCCAAACGTGGCTCCAAGGTGGGACCCAAGACTTATATTTCTTTGCTACAGTCTTGTATTGATATGGATTCAATTGTGCATGGTCGTGAGCTGCATGCCCGAATTGGTTTGGTTAGGGATCCAAACCCTTTTGTTGAGACCAAACTTGTGAGCATGTATGCTAAATGTGGGAGTCTGGAAGATGCCCGTCGCGTATTTGGTGGAATGCGTGAGAGAAATCTGTTTACTTGGTCGACCATGATAGGTGGGTACACTAGAGAACAGAGATGGAGGGAAATCATAGACCTTTTCTTTTGGATGATGGATGATGGAATTATTCCAGACGAATTTCTGGTGCCAAAGATTTTACAGGCTTGTGCAAACTTAGGAGATGTTGAGACAGGGAAGTTTATACATTCTTTTGTGATCCGAAGTGGTATGGATCTGTGTGTTCATGTTAGCAATTCTATATTGGCCATGTATGCAAAGTGTGGGAGATTGAGTTCTGCAAGAAGATTTTTTGAGAAAATGGACCAGAAAGACAGGGTGACTTGGAATACTATTATATCTGGATATTGCCAGAGTGATGATACTAAAGAAGCCCTTCGGTTGTTTGATCAGATGCAAGTTGAGGGAATTGAGCCAGGTTTAATAACTTGGAATATACTGATTGCTAGTTATAATCAATCTGGGAAGTGCGACCTCGCTATGGAACTGATGAAGAAAATGGAGAGTTTGGGGATCACTCCTGATGTCTTTACTTGGACTTCCATGATTTCAGGTTTTGCACAGAACAACAGGAAACATGTCGCCTTGGAACTGTTCAGAGAAATGCTATTAGCAGGGGTTGAACCAAATGGAGTTACTGTTGCAAGTGCACTTTCAGTTTGTGCTTCTTTGAAAGTTTTATTGAAGGGGAAAGAACTCCACTCGATTGGAATTAAGATAGGATGTATGGGAGATGTACTAGTAGGAAATTCACTGATTGACATGTACTCTAAGTGTGGGAAACTTGATGCTGCTCGGCTTGTCTTTGATAATATCTCAGAAAAAGATATTTTCACATGGAACTCAATGGTTGGAGGATATGCACAGTCTGGATATTGTGGCAAGGCCCATGATCTCTTTGTGAAGATGAAGGATGCAGGTATCCAACCGAATGTTGTGACATGGAATGTTATGATCTCAGGTTATATACAAAATGGAGATGAAGATCAGGCTATGGATCTCTTTCATAGGATGGAAACAGATGGAACAATCAAAAGGAATACAGCATCATGGAACTCACTTATTGCAGGCTCACTTCAAAATGGGCACAAAAACAAGGCTCTAGGGATATTTCGTCAAATGCACTCTTTTTCAGTGCGACCAAATTCAGTTACTTTGTTGAGCATCTTACCGGCTTGTGCAAATTTAGTAGCATCAAGAAAAGTGAAGGAGGTACATGGTTTTGTGTTGCGTGGAAGTTTGAATTCTGAGCTCTCAGTAGCTAATTCTCTTATAGATGCTTATGCCAAGTCTGGGAACATTGCTTGTGCAAGAGCCATATTTAATCATTTGCCATCTAAAGATATCATCTCTTGGAACTCGATGATTGCAGGTTATGTTCTACATGGTCTTCCTGATATTGCACTTAATCTCTTGGGTCAAATGAGACGACTGGGGTTCAAACCGAACAGGGGCACTTATTCAAGTATTATCAGGGCATATGGTCTTGCAGGGATGGTGGATGAAGGAAAACAAACCTTCTATAGCATGGTTGAAGATAATCAAATTACTCCAAGCTTAGAACATTTTTCAGCTATGGTAGATCTACTTGGTCGTTCGGGTAGGCTTGGTGAAGCATTTAAGTTCATTGAAGAAATGACAATAGAACCTGATCACTTAATCTGGGGTGCTTTGCTTACAGCTTGTAGGGTCCATGGCAATATAGGTTTGGCAGTCCGTGCTGCAGAACATTTGATGAAATTGGACCCTGGGGATTTCATAGCGTGCAGGTTAATGTCACAGATATATACATTAAGTGGGAGGCATGAAGATGCTTCAAAATTGAGGAAACCTAAAAGGAGAAATGCGACAAGTAGTTCTCTTGGGTTCAGTTGGATGGAAATAAAGAACATAGTGCAGACTTTTAACCCAGGTGATCAATCTATGCTAAAGTCAGATGCTTTATATTCTCTGTTATGCAGCATTGCAGAAGAAAGGGTAGTTCCTCCTGAATCTTGTGATATACAGCTATGCGTTGAGGAGGAAGAGAAGGAGCAGCTTGTTGGGGTCCACAGTGAGAAACTTGCAATTGCTTTTGCACTTATTGGCTCTCCTGATAGATCTCGAAGCATTCGGATTGTGAAGAATCTAAGAATGTGCAGAGATTGCCATAGGACTGCCAAACTTATCTCTCTGAGATATGGTTGTGAAATTTATTTGAGTGATCCAAACTGCTTCCACCATTTCAAAAATGGGAAATGTTCTTGTAAGGATTATTGGTGATGCAAAATGAAAATAAATTTGAATCACAGGAAAGAAATAACTGTGATGTTAAATGGAACTCTTTTATAGAATTTTACAGAACAACTTGTAGTCACTAACAAGTTCAATTCTTTGTACCTTATAGAGCAGAATGCATTTCTTCTAGTGAGAATATCTGTCTATGTTTCTCTCTTTCTCTCTCCCTCTCTCTCAAAAAAAGAAAAAAAGAAAAATCTGTCTATTAGTTTGATCCCCCATGGCCCTACAGCAACTTGGGAAGGTTGGACTGGGTTTAGGGCCAACATAGGTCAAACCCTAAAACACAGACCTTGGGCTCCGGCCTGGACTAAACCTGAGTTCAAAACCTAATTTTGTCAACCCAAGTGCAGCCTGAACTGAACCCAACACAACTTGGGTTAGGCTCATGTGGGTTTGGTCATGTTGGTTGTGTTTGTAAGGTTTCTTATTCATATTTGCACTTCTATTTTTCATTTGGACATATGTATCGTTTGAATTAGAAATGGAATAATAGAAATGTTTGTGTGTGTGAGTGTGTGTGTGTGTGAGAGAGAGAGAGAGGTCCTGATGTACTGTACTATCATAGTCCCGTTGTGTCTTAGATATTCTTTTTATTTCTTTATTTTCTCTTTCATTAGCCATGTAACGGCTTTCTTGTAATTGTTCATATCTTTATCAGCAGTGAAAGCAGTTTGAATCTTTGGTTTAGAAGGGTGTTTCAAGAGTTTTTTATTCCTTCTTCAATTGCTAGATTGAGGGCTCTCTGAAGGCTGTTTTGATCAGTCCAAGAAACTGCTGTTTTTCCTGGAAAGATGCCCAGCAACTTGGTATTTTATTGTTTCATCTCAATCAGCTGACCCAATCAGCCTAGGATTTTAGATCTGGTGTTGCCCTAGGGTTCTCTATCATATTTCTTGATTGGCTCAAGTTTGGGTCTTTTTTTGAAGGGTCTTTGATCCCTCCTTTGGATTGGCAGTCTTGAAACTTGCCTTTTTGGACTGCCATCACTAGAAACTTGCTGTTAAGGATTTTTTTCTTGAAATTCTTCAAAGTGTCTAGACTGAATCTTGATTAGTTTTGATTGGTAGATTGCTTATTTTTCTCAGTTTTAGTATTGATTTCGGTGCTGTTTTCTCCCTCTGGACTGTGATCTGTGTGTGTTTTTTCTTGAAGATGGCTGAAAAAATTGATGTTATACCTGCAAAGTTTGATGGAACTAATTACAGCATGTGGAAGTTCCATTTTGACTTCTTTGTTGAAGGAAAATGATTAGAGGGTTACTTGAATGGGACTATTACCAAACCAGGTGAAATTGAACCAAAAGCCTTTCAACAATGGAAGCTTGATAATGGAAAATTAGTCTCTTGGATTTGGAGTTCAATTCTGCCTGATGTTGCTATACCTATGAGAAGAATGAGGACAACCTATGAGATGTATGCTTACCTAAAGAAGGTTTATTACCAGTCCAACATGTCAAGGCAATATCAAATAAAATTTGAAATCTTTGTTTACTCTCAAGGAGTAGGAGTATTATGCTATCTTCCTTGACTTGTGGGCTGAATATGAAGTAGTTTACATTGATCATTTTGACTCTCTAAGTATGTTAAGTACCTTTAGAAACACTTTTAGAAGAAAAAGGTGAACTAGTTCCTTATGAGGCTTCAACTTGAATATGAAATACTAAGGTTTACCATTTTGAGTAGGGGCACACTTTCAGATTTGGATTCAGTAATGGGCTGCTAAGGGAAGAGACCAGACTTATGACTGCTGCAAACATTGATGAAAACCTGGTGTTATGAGTGTAAAGGGTAAGAAAACCTAGTGTTATGACTGCTGGTAGATTCTGGGGCTGATACAATCTTTATTGCACAAGAGGGTAAGAAGTCTGTTGTTAAGGATTTCTCTAAAACCTAGTGTTATGAGTGTAAAGGGTTTGGACACATTGCTTCTCATTGTAAGAAGAGGAATGCACTCATTGTAAACAACATAGTCATATTATTCCAGATTGCCCTGTTTGTCTACCCAAGGGTGCTCAGAAGAAGAATCCACCACATGCATATCAGGTGACTGAGGAACATACTACTGATGCTTCTGCTACCAAAGGTGAATCTTCTACTTCTATGGATGAGGAAAAAATTTGACAACTAGTATCCTTTGCTATTTCTTCTCTGCCTTTTTTGTTATTGGCTTATCTGGTGAATTCTTTGGTTACTACTTTTCTCCTTCTTATGTTTGGATTGAGGCTACTAATCATATGACCGGAGCCTACTTTGAACCTTTAAGTAAATGTTTTGAGACCTACCATAGATACATCATTATTGCCAATAATGAGAAATTGAACATCATTGGAAGTAATGGTTTGTGCCTTAAGCTTTTACCCTCTACTTCCTTTCCCCTTACCAAGACCTTCTTTGTTCCTCATCTTATTATTAACCTTATTTCAGTTGTTCAACTTGATGGTCATATTCTTACTTTTCTTCTGATGCTTGGTAGTTTGATTCATAACCAGTACACTAGGAAGGTGAAAGGGAAAGGGTGTAGGCTGAGCCACTTGTTTGCATTGGAGTTTGAGAAATCTCAAATAATAGAGTCATCAACTTTAGATTTTCTTCATCTAGTCCCGTTTTGGGCCAAAGAAATCATGTTTGGGATTTATGGCATAAATGTTTGGGTCATCCCAACTCTGAAAAACTTAAGTTTTTGTTTGACTTTGGCTTTATTAGATATGAAATTTATTTTTTATATACTTTTGATACATCTTGTGTTACTTGTTGCTTGAGTAAAAGTTGTATTTTTACCTTTTTTCACACAATTGAATAAACTACCTCTCCTTTTGAAATTATACGTAGTGATTTATGGACTTCATTTGTTATTTTACGCTTGGGATACAAGTATTTTGTACTATTCATTGATGACCGTAGTATGCACACTTGGATTTATTTCCTTGGGCACAAGTTAGAAGTTTTTCCAATATTTTGTCTATTCCATGCTATGTTCAATTTTGGTTTCAATCAAGAATATTGGATCTCCCTTACCCTGGAAAGAAGGCAATTAATTGTTGTTGGGTGTACAGTTAAGCATCACTAAGATGATAATACTGAGTGGTTTAAAGCAAGACTTGTGGCCAAGGGATAGACACAAACTTATTGCCGTGACTGTTTAGAGATTTTCTATCCGGTTGCTAAATGGGTTCACTAGAAGTGATTATTTTGTTAGCTGCACCCTTTAATTAGCCACTATTTCAGCTAGATATCAAGAATATCTTTCTCCATGCCTCCATTTTGATCTTCATGAGGTGTATATGGAGCAATCTCCTAGGTATGTTGCTTAGGGAGAGGTAGGCAAAGTGTATAGATTGAGGAAGGCTATCTATGGGATGAAACAATCACTGTGTGCTTGGTTTGGTCAGTTTAATAGTGTGGTGTTGATCATTTAGTGTTTAGCAGAGATACTTCTTCTAGGAAGATCATTTTGGCTGTTTATGTAGATGATATTGTCCTCATTGGTAGTGATGTATAGGGAATTAGTGAACTAAAGTAGTTTTTGCATCAACATTTCTAGACCAAAGACCTAGCATGATTGAAATATTTGGTAGGTATTGAAGTGGCTCAATTAGAGTGGGCTATCTCCTTGTCACAATGTAAGCATAAGGGGTGGTCATTCATTCATTCTTGGCTCGGCCCAGCCCGACCCAACCCACAAACTTCCAAGCCCAGGCCCAGGTTTTAGTGTGCAGACCCGGCCTGGCCTGGACCCACATAAATCTTGGAAAATTCTAGGTTGGGCTTGAGTCCAACACTTTAGGCCTATCCCAGGCCTGGCCTGCAATATAATATAATATATAATATATAACATACATATTTTTATATAATAACATATATATCGTATTTTATATGTTATATATACTCAGGTATATTTTATTTTTATACTAAATGTCTATTATTTTATATAAAACATACAAGTTTTAAGTTTTAACATATAAATAAATATTCATTAGTTGACACATGTCAACACATGAGTTTACATTTGTGCCAACACTTAAGTCAACTCAAGTATGAGAATTGCCCTCTTAGGCAAGGCCTTCATTCTCATTGCCTAAGCAATGTGGGACTTAGGCTAACACTCAATGATAACACTCACTAATGAGTGTTGTTCCAAGTCCCACATTACTCAAGAATGGGAATGAAGGCCTTGCCTTCATCTATAAAAGCATAAGTCAGCCAAGTCAAACTAAGCCTAAGAATTAAATGAGGCCCATGCCTTATTTTTTGTGCCATAGGCCCAAAGCCTAGCCAAGCCCAATCTAGCTTGGGTTTGTGCAATATTTTTTTTCATATATTACATGTTTAATTTAAAAATTAATTAAATTTTTATTATTAGATGTCATGGGCCCAAAGTCATTAGGCTCGGAAAGTCTATAAGCCACTAGGCTTGCAATTTGGGCCTGGGCCTAGGCTAAAGACCATATCATTGGTGCCAAACCTGGCTTGGGCCCAACCCGATTCATGATCACCCCTAGTATGTCTTGGATTTGTTGGATAAGATTGGGTTGTTAGGAGCCAAACCAAGGAAATTCTGATGGATAGGGGTGCTGAGTCAATTTGTGTAGAATCCCATAACTATTCATTGGGAAGGTGTTGGGAGTGTTAAGGTATTTAAAGTGTGCCCCAAGCCATAGGTTGTTGTTATACAAGAAAGGGTGAGAGTTATTATTGGAAGGGTACTCAAATGTAGATTGGGCAAGGGCCTTTATGGATAGGAAATCTACTACATCTTATTGCATTTTGTGTGGAAGTCTTATCACTTGGAAAAGTAAAAAGCAAAGTGTGGTTTCCAAATAGTGCTGAAGCTGAGTATAGTGCAGTGGCACACACCACTCGTGAGTTGATTTGGCTGAAACATCTACTTCAGGAGATCGGGATTCCTATAGCTAAACCCATAAATCTAGTGTTTGAAAATCAGGCTGCAACATATATTGCCTCTAATCCAGTTTTTCATGAGAGGACGAAGCATATAGAAGTTGACTACCATTTCGTGAGAAAGAGAGTGACAAGTGGCAATGTAGATACACCCAATGTCAAGTCAGAAGACCAACTAGTAAATGTTTTCACTAAGAGCATGATCCAAACTAGAATAGACTATATTTGTAACAAGCTAGAGCTTTCTGATATATATACTCCAGTTGAAGAAGGATTGCTAAAGTCTAGTTGACAGAGGTATCGCTATCTAGGAGTCTGCCTTTCATACTCTCAGTTTCTCTATATTAGGAGTCCTTTATCAAGCTTCAAGCTAACAACCTACTACATCTCCTTGTAAAGATTCCAATAGAAGTGGCAAGGAGAGTGGAAAAAATTCAAGGAGATTTTCTTTGGGAAGGTTTGGGGGCCCAAGAAGTTCCATCTAGTAAATTGGGAGAAAGTGTGCAGGCTAAAGAATGGTGGGGGTTTGGGGGACCTTCAATAAGGCTTTTCTTGGTAAATGGATTTGACAATTTGGGTTAGATAAGGAAAGGAATTTGCTTTGGAGAAGAGTGGTGGTGGGAAAGTATGGAGTGGTCAGATTTGGGTGGGACTTGAGGGAGGTGTCCACTTCTTTTGGGGTGAGTGTTTGGAAAGGAATCTCTCTCCTTATCGCCCTCAAACTT